AGGAGAGGGTGAGGAGCCAGGCCAGAGAGGTTGAGTGGGAGAGGAGATTTGGGGAGATGGCGACCGCTATGGATAGGCTCTCAGCAGCCTGGGAGGCTATCAGGACAGGGTCGGCCGGTGCTGACATCCAGGGCCGTGGGATGTAGGCGTCGTCAAGTTAGGGAGTAGCAGTGGAAGTCCCTCGTCAGGCCGAGCCGATGGAGGAGGCGCCCTTGGACGCAGTCGAGAAGGGGAGTGGCGCGCAGGAGTCACTTATGGCTATGTCCACGGAGAGGAAGGGTTCGTGCTTGCATAAGTTGGCGACAGCCATGGGGATAGGCACTCCACAAGAGGGGCCTCAGGGACTTGACGCTCCAGAGCATGCCCCGAGGTTGGGAGAGTTGAGGGCGGAGCTGGGCTCCTGGGCCACAGGGACGGACTCAGGAGGGCCTGACTCGAGACGGCAACAGCGGCAGGAGGTCATGAGTGAGCCCGCCGCTATGAGGGGCTCTCAGCCGACAAGAGTATGCAGGGATGAGGCGGCGATGACAGAGAGCGCTCATGAGGAGGGGCCCCGGGAGTTGGACACGCCAGAGCGCGGGCCAGGGAGTGCGGCTGCACGAGGGGGTGAGGGTGCTGAGGCTATAGGGCCAGGACCGCAGGGCCATGTGGGGTTGCCCTCGTGTCATGAGGTGGCTACTGAGACCATTGGGACGCCTTCGGCATCGAGTTCGCAGGGGGGAAAGAAGAAGACTGCTAGGTGGCATGATACCTCCTGTTTTTGGTGCAAGGAGGGGGGATATAGAGCCGTGAACTGTCCAGAGCTCCTTGAGGATAAGGCCGAAGGGCGAGTCGCGGAGGTCGATGGCAAATTCTATGACAGACAGGGCAGGATAGTGGAGCGAGCTCCAGATGGGGGCAGGGCCCAGTTATACAGACAGAACCAGGAGGAATTGTGTAAGTAGGGATCGGTTTGTCTATGCATTGATAGGACTAGAGATCTTTGACACACACAGGGCAGGGTTGGAGGTGTACATACCTTGAGTCAGTTGAGCGGGCCCTAGGTGTGTGTGTGCGTAGGGGTGGTGGGATGAACTCCTATCCGTTTGTACATATGCGTTCGACTTTTGCTCACTTGCCTCCTCTTGAGAGTCTTCGTGGGCTACGACCCAGGGGTAGGGCTCGACCGTGTGATGTATGAGACTACTTAGTTACATTTGGTTTTGGGATTCAGAAGCTTGCTGCTCTGAATGGGATTTGGGAGTTCGTAGCACTCAGGGTGTGAGTTCTCCCAGCAGGGGAGGACAGGGGCTAGAATATTCTATGGATGATTAGGCAGGTGTTATGCTCCCGAGTGTACTTGATGAGTATACAGTGGGGTTATGAGTCCCATTCAGACGGGCGGAGTATGGAGTTGGGTGCTTGTATTCGATTGTTGGGGGAGACATTCTACTCCCTAAGTGTACTATGAGTTGAGATCCTATAAGACTTGTTTTGTGACGATCACTATCGCTCTCACATGTGTGGATTTATCTCGATGAATGTTTGGCTTTGTGTGAGAGATGTACAGGATGCATCTCATGGGCATGACTGTGTAAATTGTACAGCTGTCTACCCTCCGGTATACTCGTGCGGTCTGCTACAAGCGGACGAGAGGGCAGGGTTTAAGGAGGGGAAGTGCAACCCGTTTGTGAAAAACTGTGAGGATCCTACGGGATTGATGGATTTAGGAATTTGCATGCTTGGTCGTACTAAAACACCGTTGCATAAGCTGTACAGGGACCCAGAAGGTGGTCCCTCAGTTTGAGTTGTTTGATGATTAAGGCCCCCTTCATAATTCTGGGAGGTGGGAGTTATATTGCGTGGAGACCCCTTCATGGTTTTGGAAGAGGTCGTGTGAGGAGCCATCCCATACAAAAGGGGTGGCCAGGAAGTCTTTTATGGAAGACACCCTTCACCCAATAAGGGTAGGCAAAAAAGGAATGATGTGGAAAGCATTGTCTGTGTTGATAAAGTCTGACAAGAAGGGACCATGCTTGCTTGAAATGTGTGAGGAGGGCGAGAGATGCCTCAGGGTGGGCGACTGCTGGCTCTGATCAAGTCAGGAGCCGCGGCCTCGTGGACCCGGCGGGGAGATTGTTTGTGACTGAGTAAAGGATGCCGTGCCTATTACTGGAGGGCCGGTAAATGCCTTTGGATCCCTACGTAGTCCTGCAGCGGTCGTGAATCGTTTGTAACGCCCCGCCTGACCACTTGTGCTAATTCTGAGACATGTTTAAAGGAATACCAAGCTAACGGTAAAGCTTAGTGCCACCTGGGCGCAACCCCTAATTGATGGTTGCTAGCCGGCACAACCTGGCTGCGGGCCTGCAAGGCAAGAGTTTAAGGGGAGTTGCCCGCCCCAAGGAAATTACCTTGCGGGATAAGAGTCGAGTCTTTTGGGAGCCCTGATTGATTGGTTATCAGGGATATACCTGCCATTGTATAACCAATGGGAGGATACTNATTACCTTGCGGGATAAGAGTCGAGTCTTTTGGGAGCCCTGATTGATTGGTTATCAGGGATATACCTGCCATTGTATAACCAATGGGAGGATACTACCGCTAAGGTAACAATGTGGTGGGCCGTAGACCTGGCCCGATCAACCAGGCTACGGTGGGCCCAGATGGGGACCTGGCATTTCTGTACTAGGCTGCAGAAAAGCCCAAGAGAGGCTATAAACTTATACATGTGTGTTTTGTTTGACTGTGAGGAACTTGTTGAAGAAGGCAGAGAGTGCCTTCATAGGCCCCATTCGAAGCCCGCGTCCCTAGTTATGGCTCTGCTTATGAGGAAGAGGCTAACTGGGACAACCAATGAGAGGTCGGCGGTTGTCTAGGAAAAAGGGGAAGAGGATGGTTTGGGGGCCTTTGGAACTTATGCTGTAGTATTGACGCGTAATACAACGGCGTCCTTATATCAGGACAATGAAGACCCAGGTTGAAACCCTAGCAGCATATAGTTGTGTGGCACAAATTGATGGAGGCCTCGACCCTGAGTCTGTCGGCTAATCGGATTGGTTCTGATCTCGTCAGCATTTGGAATATGATGGAAATCTATAGCTTTTTGATCTGGCGACGCGACGGGGACGTCGCTTAATATGGTCCGGTAAGCTGTCGGCGCGAATACGCTTACAAGGGTATCCGACCTGATTTTTGCAAGTGACAGAAAGGCTTGGTTAACCTGGATCTTGAGTGCCCGGGCGGGAAAATGCGAAGGTCGCCCGCACGTAGGCAAGGGTCTGTCTTGTCCCGGTAGGGAGTAGGTGGACGCGCAATATTTAAGGCGCGCATGTGATTTTTCCTAATTCAGTAGGCGGCCGGGGTAGCCGACCGACCCAGACGGTGTTACGGCCTTGGTTAGGGAATGAAAGTTTGTTTTTGATAGGCGCGCGTGACCAAGGGTAGGGCTGGCGCGCCGGTAGGCGCATGGGACAGCCATGGCGCGGGGTGGTAGACCGATGCGGACACCTAGGGTCTGTGGGTGCAATTGTGGGCCGAAAAAGTAACCAGGGCGGTATCCTGGCCCGGAACGCCGCGCGGTGCCACTTTACATGGGAAACCGCGCTTGCTGGTCACAGGCTTGGGCTTGGCCCTATAGGTTACGGCACTGGATTTGCACGGTGGAGGTACGAGGTTCGAGGCTGGCGGAAGACAACGCAGGAATAATGAAGCGCCAGAAAGCTAAGAGGTTGAGGGTCCCGCGGGACTATCCCCCTTTTTGTTTTTCTAGGGGGAGCCCGACCATCGGTCCGCGCCGCTAGGCTATGGGAATATTGGCAGGGCCGCGGTTCATTCCCCCTTCCAAACGATCCTTTTTTCTTATTTTGGGGACCACCCCAGAATTGTTATGCTTGGTTAGAGCCGTTTAAGAGGCGGGCGGCCGCACCCTGAGGCCAACGGCCCATCTTGTCGGGAGTACCCATATACCCTGGGGGCGCAGACCCCCGCCTAACTTGAATGATGGGGGCCAAACATTAAAAAGGTTGGGCTTTGCAGGAGCTGGCCAACCATCTGACGCGGCCGCTAGGGCGGATCTAGGGAACGATATAAAGAAAATTTGCCTGGTCGCGCGCAAAGGCTCACACGCATAAACCCCGAAGGGAGGGCCAGGTCCATGAGGAGAGAGTGGGGTGAATGGGGTAATGATCGTGGCAGATCTCCTTTGGGAGGAACCCCGGTAAGGCGGAGGAGATCTGCGCGATTTACGAGGGGGCGGTGAACTGACCAAAGGAGGCCGAGGCAAGGGGCCGCGGGCCGGTGGCAATATCCGCGGCACACATCGGTCGTCGCCCGGGGGTTTTTGTTGGCATCGGGGGGCAGATTTGTGGTGACACAACAAAGTGGAGACGATACGGAGAAGATTAGCTCGGCCACTGTGCAAAGTTGGCACTCGTGAATTTGGAAACGAGCCCGGACGCAAAAAGGGGTGGGTGCATGCGGGAGAGGGTTTACCACGCGCGGGTCCTTTGGGACATCTGCTAAAGCTGGAAGTGGCGCAGAGGAGGTCTGTGTGGGCCCTGCGCAAGGATGGCATGCATAAATCAGGGAAACGCGGCCGGGTTCGTGCGAAAACGGTGAGGCGGGGTGGCACAGGGGGAGGCCGCTCAGGCCGCAAAGGGGCGTCGGGAGTTGCTTAGTCCTTCGAGACATCCGCTAAATTGGAACGATACGGTGAAGATCTGCATGGTCCTTGCGCAAGGGTTGACACGCATGAGCTGCGAGAAAAGGGTCAGGATCGTGCATTAAGGGAGATCCGGTAATACGGCTGCGCGGGCTCGGAATGGCCGCAGACACTGCCTCGATTGAGTCCGTTCGGGAGTATTGGAGCGATACCAAGAAGATTAGCGCAGCCCCTGCGCAAGACCGACRTGCATAAAGCGGGGGCGTGCCCTTCCTTTTCGGAACTTTGTCCCTTTTTTTTTTGGGCCAGCTGTGCAGTGGTCGGCCGCGGGTGGTATTCGGCAGCAGCGAACCAGCCCTGTTGACGACAACACGGCAATGGTGAAGGAGATGGCGGGGGACTAGGAGGAAGGCGCGGTTAAGAAGAGACAGCTCGCTCGTTCCTCGATGGAATCGAGCGGGGGAGGAAGCAATATTGGGGTTTTAGCCCCGGGCGCATCGAATGGCGAAGGTGGTTCGGCGGCTAGTTGAGTAGAATAGGGGTTAGGAAGAAAATGGGTGCGCGGAGAGATGGCGGAGGGGACAACGAATGGGGGGAGAAACCGTTAGTTCGGCCATCTCCTGGCCGTTTTTGGTCAACAAGGATTCTAAAGTGGGGTTTTGGGGAAGGGCAAAATCAGATATGGGGTTAGTTCGGGCGATAGGTTAGTAAAATAGGAAGTTAGTACGAAAACGTGTGCGCGGAGGGTGTCGAGAACGAAGGTAACGGGAGCGAAAACTCCAAATCTCGCTCGATCCTCGAAGGATTCGAGCGAGGTAAGTTGCGAACCCGGGGTTTTTGCCCCGGGCGACTTGCAGGACAGTGTTAGTTTTTAGAGAGGGTTAGAACTTAGTAGAGTAGAAGATAGGAGGGAAAGCACGTGCGGGGAGGAGAGCCTGAAGTGGGAATGTACCTGTCCGCTTTCAGTGGAACATTCGTTCGATTCGTCTTGCTTGAACAACGGAAGAAGCGTGGGGCTAGCTACGGAGTCGGGTACTTACTTGTGGGCGGTCGGTGTAGTTGGGGATTCACCCGGCCTCACCCGTTTCTGCCGGTGGAAGTAGCGGGGAACCGGTGCGCGATCTGAAGGGAATAACGAACGAACAGAAAAGTAGTGAGCACAGAGAGAGAGAGAGGGAGAGTTGGCCAAAGCCAATTGAGCGGGGGTAGACCGCCAACAGCCGATGAAGGAGGCAGACTGAACACAGTCTGTTGGGCAAACAGCTACGACAGTCTGTGAGGTGCATTACGCCTCACCGTTGAAACTGGTCTGTGGAGGCGGGGCTGGCGTTGAGGGATGAATTGAAAATCGAACTACTGAGTCGAGCCGTCCGCGGGCCGAA